CCCTGATCTCCCTATTCCCCAGGGGATAAAGTTTGAGGAGGGCGGGGGGGACCCAATCTCTCCCTGGCCTTTCTGAGATTAGCCCAGCCTCAGCACCAGCACCCACGCACTCGGGTCCCACGGCTACTTTTACACCTACAGCTGCGGGGCTCAGACCTGAGGAAGGCCCCGAGTTCAGTCTTCCTCCCCGAGCTTCAAAATATCAGCAGCCATCTCACAGGACGTGGATGCGGAATTGCATCGCAGGGCCCAATGGCCCATGATACTTAATTTATCTAGGGACCTCTTTACCTCCCAGGCTGACCCTCTATCACCCCTGCCCTCGGTATACAGCGAGGGTTCGTTGCTGGGCGAAGAGGAAGAGGTGGCTGACCAAGAATTTTCAGATGACAAGGGCCTAGTGCAGGACAAGCCTACCTTTTCTGGGTTGTTTTGTCCACCCTTATTTAAATCACTTTTATATAAGGCTAAGGCTACTACCAACATGGGGGGTGCTATCACACAGGCTACTGCGGTGGGGCTTGACTCTGCAAAACGTTGTTTTGCTGAACAGGTGCAGAACAGGATGTCATTCCCTTTCTAAAACTGTTCCTTGACGTTGTCCAAAAACAATGGACGCAACCAACTGCTGTCCTTCCACGTAGTAATGGTGACAGGAAGCTCTATACTTCCACACCACAACTGGATGGAATCCTTCAATTCCCTACAGTAGACCTACCAGTAGCAGCCTTGGCCTCCCCAGCTTTGATTCCGTCCAAAATTTCAGAAGATCTTAAGGCTGAGAACCGTAAGGCCGAATTGGTCATATGTAAAACGCACCAGGCGGCTGGGTGTTGCGAGCTGCTACGGCGGCCTCGTTTTTCAATAGGACTTCATTGGTCTTGCTCAGGTAGTTACAGGCCAGGCTTGCTCCTGATGATATGTGCCTCCATCAGGATGTCAACAAACTGGTGGCAGCATTAGAGTTTTCTTCTGATGCTACCCTCAATATGGCCAAGTTCACGTCTCGAGCGGTAGCATCCAATGTGGCATCCCATCTCCTCCTTTGGCTACGCCATTGGCAGGCGGACGTATGCTCCAAATGGTGCCTAGCATCCACCCCCTTCAAGGGCGGGCCTCTGTTTCGTGCCGCGTTGGACCCTATCTTAATCGAGACTAGGGACAAATGTAAGGTGCTCCCATCAACCAACAGATGCACAGACAGGAGACAAGAACCTTACAATAGACAGCAGTCCTTTCATGCCCAGGACTCTGGGTATAACACAGTTCCATATATTCCCCAGTATAACAGGTCCTATACACAGACACAGGACAGGGCCCAGGACCATTCCGATGCCAGGGATTGATTCCATCAACAGAGCCAGCAACAGCCTCAGGCCTGGCGGCCATTTCATGGCGCCAACAACCGGTCCTTTCGTAGATACTCGCACAGGGTGGGGCCTATTGGTGGACGTTTAACAGCCTTCGTTCACCAATGGGCAGAAATCACCTCAGATGCCTGGGTCATCCAGACTGTGAGGCTGGGCTTCACTCTAGAATTTCTCTCTGTCCCCCCCGAGGTGTTTCATCAGGTGCCCCAGACCCAGTTGTCAGGTAAAGAGGTGTCTGATGGACACCGAAATCCAACATCTACTATCAATCAATGGCATAGAGACGGTACCACAAGGGCAGGAAAGACAAGGTTTTTACTCTATTCTGTTCCTAGTTCCCAAAAACCCGGGAGGATGACAAGCCATCGTAGACTTGAAATGGCTCAACTTATACCTGAAATATCAGAGGTTCAAGATGCAATTGCTCAAAAGCATCTTATCCTGCTTACCTCAGTCGACATGGCGTACTTCCACGTACTGATACATCTGGCACATCGAAGGTTATGGCGGTTCCAGTTCGCAGGACGGCATTTTCAATATCGAGCCCTGGCATTTGGCCTGTCATCGGCCCCAAGAATCTTCACAAATTTGCTGGCAGTGATTGTCGCATCTCTTCGGTCACTACCCATAAGAGTCAATTGTTATCTCGATGACATCCTGGTCCTGTCCTCATCCCGGAACCAGGCGGATCAAGACCTGCAAATCACAATCGACACTGCAGCGCCATGGCTTCATCCTGAACTTTCCAAAGAGTCACTTGCACCCGACCACGTCTCTCTTACACCTCGGGACCATCATCAATTGGGAGCTGTGCGAGGTGTCACTATCTCAGGAGAGACAACAAAGCCTGCCGACCCCCGGTGAGTCACGTACTATCACAGAGGTCGATACCACTGGCAGTTCTTTCCCAGCTTCTTGGGAAAATGACTGCATGTATAAACATTGTTCCCTGAGCACGGTTCCACACATGACCGCTCCAATGGTTCCTACTCCCCTTCCAGAGAGCCCACGCTAGTCTCTCGCAAACCAGGGTACAAGTATCATCCAATGTGTTACGGTCGTTACGGTGTGGACATCCTCCAAATTACTCAAGGGATGTCTCTTTGGGTGGAGAGCCCATGTCTTGGACCGAGTAGCACAGGGACTTTGGACTGCACAGGAACTTTGGAACAGCATCAGCTGGTTAGAACTGCAGGCCATTCGGCTAGCTCTTCATGAGTTTCGGGAATTGGTGACGGCCGACCAGGTGTTGATCCTCACTGACAACATGGCCTCCAAGGCTCATATCAACCGCCAAGGAGGCATGCGGTCCAAGTCCCTGATGTTGGAAGCGGAGAGGCTCTACCATTGAGCAGAGAACCGTTTGCTATCAATTCGGGCAGAGCACATATCGGGCACAGCCAATACGGAGGTGGATTGGTTGAGCAGGGCCACGGTGGACCAGGCAGAGTGGTGGCTCCATCCAGCCCTATTCCAGGAACTGTCTCGCAGGTTTGGTCAACCTGAAGTGGACCTCTTTGCGCAACCTCACAATTCACACCTCCCAAGGTTTTACACCAGGTTCCACGGACCGGGGGTAGAGGGCGCCGATGCGCTTCGCAATCCTTGGCTGGAAGGCCTCCTTTACGTCTTCCCGCCTCTCCCAATCATTCCACTTGTCATCTGGAAGATTCTAGCAGAACTGGTGGAAGTTCTCATGGTTGCACCGATGTCCCGTCACCCTTGGTATGCCGACCTCATCCATCTGTCCGTCTCATGCCCGTGGAGAATTCCGGACAATCAGATACATCTCTCCCAAGGGATTCTCATCCATCCGAACCCCCAACTATTACAGTTAGCTGTGTGGCACGTGAACGGGCTCTCTTGACTCAACAGTGATTCTCTGACAAGTCATTGACACAATCCAAGCGGCACGACGTCCATCCACAACTCGCATCTATGAGGCCATCTGGCAGGTCTTCTGCAGGTGGGGCTGCACAACCGGAGTTGACCCACTCACAGCATCCGTACCACAGGTACTAGGTTTCTTGCAGATAGGCATGGTCAATGGGCTGACACCCAACACCCTCTGCCGCCAGATTGCAGCTCTATCGACTGTTGTTGGGGACGGGCAGGGCCGCTCCTTGGCTCAACATCCAAGTGTTCGGTCATTCCTAAAAGGTGCCTTGAACCTCAGGCCGCCAGTAATCCACCGTAACCTGATATGGGACCTATCCCTGGTACTTAGGGCCCTCATGATGGAACCATTCGAGCCCATCCGCACGATGAGCATTAGATTGTTGACCCTTAAAACCGTCTTTTTGGTAGCTATTACATCAGCTAGGAGGGTGTCGGTCCGCGAGGACCTCTGTATCTTCCATCCGAACAGAGTCATCCTACGGTTAGACCCGGCATTCCTCCCGAAAATTAATTCATGGTTCCACAGGGCCCAGGAACTTATCCTCCTGGACTTCTGTCCGTAGCCCTCACACCTACAAGAGCGACGGTGGCGCCACCTCGATGTTCGAAGGGCGTTCCGTCGCTGCGTGAAACATAATGCGTCACTCAGAAGGTCAGAGGCACTATTCGTGTCTTTTCAGCCAGCATCCATGGGACAGAAGGTGTCATTGAATACCATCGGACGCTGGTTGAAAGCGTGTATTGCCCTCGCTTACAACAGTCAATCCAGACCAGTTCCCAGGCGCATCACCCTCCCCCCCACTCCACCAGGAGTGCGGCCACCACAGCGACTTGAGCGACGCAAATCTCAGTGGAAGACATTTGCAGGGCGGCGACTTGGTCATCTCCGTCGCCCTTTATCAGACATTATAAAATGGACATGTATGCCTTGGCGGAGGCTTCCTTTGGGTGGCGAGTCTTGCAGAGGGTTCTATCGCCACCTAGGGCCCCTGACCAGCCTAGCTCCTGCCCTTGAGACGCATTGCTTTGGCATGTCCCATGCTTGGATTTCCTGAACGGTCCTTCTATGTGCGCTGTGAGGGGAATTCAATCCCGTCCTCGGCTTCGGCTGGTCCGGGCATTGGACACATTGTTCTGGTTACCTGTTTACTCGTCTTCACGTTCCGAGCTGGTTCTGTTACATCTCTTGGATTGGCTGAGCCTTCGTACAAAACTGAAGTATCCCAGTCAGAGGAGGTGTGGTCAACAATTACATAACTCAGTCTCAAGGCTAATGGGCAAGGTTAACCCATGCTTGGATTCCCCTCACAGCGCACATAGAAGGGGCCGTTCAGGTAAGTCAACGGTTGTTTCTTTTTATATTTTTTATTATCTTCTGGGGCCTCATTACTGGCTTTCCAGTGGGCTGCAGGTTGGACAGACCTGGTTTAAGTTTGTCACAAGGAGGATTCGATTGTTCAACCATATTAGCTTTCTCCTCTCCTCCATCCCGGAGCCTTTCCTCTGTCCAGCTGCCAGTCTCTTAATCCCTTTCCCATCTCCTTACTGTAAATTACCGTATTTTTCAGAATATAAGATGCACCAAAGTTTTGAAGAGGCAAATTTTTTAAAGTTTTTGCACTCTGCAGACCTCCCAAAAATGGTCTGTTTTTTGTGAAAATCCCCCCCCCTTTTTTTTTTCAAAAAAAGGGCATGAATAGCCTTAGGAGGCTTGTAAAATGCTCGGGGGGGGGGGAATGAGCAAAAAATGGCCCTTTTTTGTGTAAACGGGTCCGTTTTTTGTCAAAAAAAAGGGGGGGGTATGAATAGCCTTTAGGGGGCTTATAGAGTGCTCCTGGGGGCTGGGGGAGCAAAATTGAGCAAAAAACTCATTTCTGCCCTCCCCAGCACCCAGGAGCTCTCTGAAAGCCTAAAGGCTATGCACGGCCATTTTGGTGAAGGGGGCTGGGTTTCAGGAGGCAAAAAAATGCTGTATTCAGTGTATAAGACGCACCTAGATTTTTGAGGGAAGTGACAATTCACATCCCAACGTGTTATGATGAACATAACACGTTAAAAACCAAAGTTGTTAAATTAACTGCAGGGATCTATTCTCCCCCCGCCCCCCCCAATTCTCCCTGAAGAGGTGTAATGCATTAACCCTTTTATTGTGGACAATCTGTTTAGTATCATTCCTTTCAACATGAGCAATATAAATGATACCTACTCAAATTTGTTCATATAAAACAGAGAAATGTTTAGATTGAACAAGAAAGACATAGATGAAGATAGAGATAAAGATGAGGAGTTAGACATTTCTTGTTTTTGTATGTTTGAACAATATAATGATGATTATTTAATTTTGATAAGTGTGATAGAGATTACTAAAACTGTTATTGTGAATTGGATTAATATGAATGATACTCAGAACCAACTCTCTTCACACACAATATGGGTGTATATTTAATATACATATATAGATATATATTTTAAAAAACATGACTGGCTGAGGAATTCTGGAAGTAGAAGTCCACAAGTCTTAAAAGTTGCTAAATTTGGAGACCCTTTTGTCTAGAAGAAATTCTTTCCTCAGTTGCTAAGGACTTGGAGAGAAAGGAGGGTTCCTGATTAAAGGGCCTAGCAGACCACGTGGATATTAATATATAATATCCTCAGCTTGAAATATATAATTTAATATAATATCCCAACTCTGAACATTTCAAATGTTCCAAAGCAGAGTAATGTTCAGGCGAAGTTCAAGCAATACCATCAATTTAAACCAGAACTGGGACCACAATTTCCATTGCTAATGCTAATTTATTGAGGATCAATGCAGGTCAAAAATTTGACATGACTGTGTTTTTTTCCCAGGAGAGAAGGGTCACGGGGGATGATGGGAGACCGAGAGAGGCCGGTGAGTCATGTTCATTGTGCATTTGATAGGATGAAAGCTTGACACTGAGGACAGTCAATCCCTGGGATGACTTGCCTTCAAAAGTTGTTGGTGCTCCAACACTGGAGCTCTGTGAAGGTTCTCAGTCATCCTGCTTGTCCCAAAGATGCTTTTCTGCATCTTTGTTTTTCCTTGAAGACGTTTTGCATCTCATCCAAGAACGACCATGGGGGGGGGGTGTTGGTCTATTTTGGGGTGGTATAATGTCTCGTGCCTTGAACGGGATTGGTCTCTTCCAGCCCTATGATTCTGTGTTATCTGCCATTCCTTTAAAAAAAAAAAAAACTTCAGGTTTCAATTTTATACACATTTTTCAACATGTTCTGAACCAACATAAATATCTGGTTCTAGAATTTCTTAACCCGCTGGAGCACTTTGGAGAAAGCACCAGTGCTTTGCAGCTCTTGAAAGCTCTAAAACCTTTTAAAAGTCCCAATGCTTCTGGCTGTTTTCTTAGTTCAGTGGCTTGTGAGCTTCTGGTGTTTCCTTTAGGACCTTGATGGCAAACCTATGGCACGCATGCCACAGATAGCTCTGTGGGCATGCGCACCGGCATCATTTCTGGAGCACCAGCTGGTCTTGGTGTGCGCTGGAGCAACAAAAACCAGAAGACCAGGGGTCTTAAGGTTTCCAAGTGTGTGCATGCGCAACGGCCACCTGGTCTTCCAGTTTCTCCGGCGGGGTGGGTGGGATAGGACTCATTCCGGTTTGGCCACTCAGTGCCGAAAAGATTCGCCGTCACTACTTTAGAGCAAATGAGTCACCAGCAAAACGAGCTTGTTGAAATATCCGCTAGAAGCTTTGTGTCGTTCGCCTGCCTTTATCTTGAAGTAGGGAACTTTGCTGCGTGGCTTCAGAAATCTCTGCTGCACCCCACTTGGTACCCCCCCACGTACCAGTTGGATCATTGCTGTTCTTGTCTCCTTCCCCTCTTTCAGCACTATGCAGAGGAACGTCACAGGGATCCAGATCGCCACTCCAGAGATGGCTGGGGCGGCTATGGGTCGGACAGGCGCATGAACGAGGGGCGGAGGATACCTCCACAGTCCCGGTGAGTGGCTTGCAGGTGATCGCGTTCAAACAGCGTCGAGTCCAGAAAGCAGTTAAGTTTACGAGCAGAACATAGGCGCAATCAGAATTTCCTTGGTTAAGCGATCTGGTCATAAGGTAACAACGGTATCATTTAGCAAAGGCAATCCCTGCAGTCCCATTGTTAATTGATTCCCTTGGTCGTTAGGTGAGGCAACTTCCTGCCAGCTTCCCACAGCCAGGGAAAGCTGACAGGAAGTTGCAAGCCCCAGGCCTGCAGATAGGCTGCTTTTGGGGGGGCAGGGTGCAGGTTGAAGGGGAGGATATACAAAATTTGCCGTGTGGGTTGGTGGAGGACATAAGTGGTGCCCTCATTGGTTGAGGAAAGTGGGTGAGAGTTTAACAGAATAATAGAATTGGAAGGAACCTCCAAGATGTTCTAGTCCAACGGCCTCTACAGGCAGAAGACCCTAGAGACCATTTCAGACAAACGGCTGTCCAGTCTCTTCTCGAAAACCTCCAGTGCTGGATCGCCTACAGCTTCTAGAGCAAGTGGTTCCACTGGCTAATTGTTCTGAAATTCCTCCTTAATTCCGGATTGCTTCTCTCCTTGATCACCTTCCATCCTTGGCTCCTTGTCCAGCCTTCAAGTGCTTTGGAGAATAGGGTGGCTCCCTTCTTCTTAGTGGCAGCCCCAGCCTGATGTGAGTGCTCAGGGCCTGGGGGAGGGTTTGAGACTGGAGGAGACCATTCTACAACCTTCCCTGCTGGCTTCCCCATTGACTCTCTGGGGTCAATGGGGTCATCAGGCAAGTTAGCAAATGGTGATTGCGGGGTGCACTTGGCAAACAGGTATGAGTTCAAACAGGTTGACAAGCACCCAGGTAGCTTCACATGACCACAGGGACACTAGGATGGCCCAAATTCCTGAGGACCAGGCACAACTACCGTTGGAGTCATTAAGTGGATCCAGTGGTGGGATTCAACCGGTGTAACAACCGGTTTGCTCTGCGCACGGGCAGTGCCTTTGAAAACAGCTCAAAAACTTACCTTCTACTGTAGCGCACTCCCCCCCCCCCCAGTGAATAAGACACCTCAGGTGCGGCAATCCATCTGCCACGCCTGTCAGCTGGGCTTCAAACAAAGGGACTATAGATCAGTATAGCGCAGAATCCCACCCCGGGCGAATCAATGTATCCCCCTGTGGGCATTTCTTGCTGGAGAAGACTTGAAACTGGCAGAAAACATTGTAAATTGCTGTCATGTGACTGAAGAACGCTGCAGCCGGGGATAAAGATGAGTATTGCCAAATCCCTAAAGTGCAGTCATGTGACCACAGAATTATATGCCGCCATTGAAATTCCAAAACGGGTCATAAATAGCTCTCCAAGGGTCCGTTGAGGCTTCAAACAGTTGCTAAGCAAGTGGATATTAAGCGACACTTCCTATAGCTGGTTTGTTTATGCGCTAATCAAATTTCTACATCTCCCATTTACAAATAAAATGACATCAAGGCCATAATTCAAAACAGAGTTCAAAACCAGATTAAAACCTAGTTAAAAAGAACAGTTGCCGAGTTAAAAGCCTGACGAAACGCCTTCAACTCACCAACCACTCCAGGGATTCCATGACACTTTTAGAGAGAGAGACAGTAATTGAGCTTTCACTCCCGTATTCTTTTGCCTAAAGGGAGACTACAAAGAAGCGAAAACATTCGCCCTTATTCCAAGCCATTTGCTAGTTTTTGAAAACACAACGAATATGGTTGCGAGACCAAGATTTCCCTTCCACTCACTCACAAGTCACACCAGTGACCTAAGCCTCCCTATATCCACCTTCTGCACACATGAAAATGAGTGAATGGAAACACACACGGGACACACACACAGCATTTCATTAATAAAACTTTCTGGGATTCCTAAACAAAGCATGCACTGAAAAACTGGAAGCTGCAAACAAGAATAGCATGGCTATGGATTCATATTCTCTCCCCCTCCCCCTCCCCTCAGACACACACACTCACTTACTTTCAGGCCAGTTGTCAAAATAACTGGAAGGCAGGAGAAGTCAGGGCTGGCCTCATCGTGGACCGTCATGGGAACCTCGGGAGATCTCAACTCAATCTCTCTGGGTAGCTTTCTAAAAAGCAACATTTTTTTTAAAACATTGGTAAACTCGGTGAAAATGGTGCAGAGAAGGCAGCTGCTTTCTTTAGCGTTTAGCAGTTCTAACGGGGAGGGAGGGAGTTCGGCTCATCCAAACAAGTGTTTTGATATGGTAGCATTGGGATACTGCTGGGCTATCAATATGATTCGTAAATAGAGTGGACATAATGCCAAGCCTCTGAACGGTGCCTTTTTGTTTTTTTAGAAAAGTATTTTTAAAACCTGTTAAACATTTCCCATATAAGCTCTCTTTTCGTTTTTAACGACCTCCTGAACTTGAGAGCTTTCAGGATTATCTTACGTGTTTTGAGAAACCGGTTTACCACTTGATCTAAGTCAGGGGTCAGCAAACTGCGGCTCTGGAGCTGCATGTGGCTCTTTTGTCCCTCTGCTGCAGCTCCGTCACCAGTCAATGCCACAATTTTGAGAGGAGCTTCCGGGGGGGTGGAGGAGGAGAAGCACAGTGCGCTAGGAGAAGACTCTACGGCAAGGGGAGGGTTTTCCAGTTGTCTCCACAATTGATAGGGCTTTCGGTTATGACAGGTAGAGGAAAAAGGACGCCGCGCTAGAAGGAGACTCTCTGGTGGGGGAACTGAACTTCTGGTCAGCTCCAGCATTGAACAGGGGGCTTCCGGTTAGGAACTTTGGGGCTCCCGGTGTTTTCTTTTCCATGGGAAACGGGTCCAAATGGCTCTTTTGAGTGTTTAAGTTTGCCGAGCCCTGGTCTAGTCAATGGATTGGTGCAATATTTTTTTTTAAAAAACCAAATCACCTTTTACACACATACACACACACTTCATGATATCCGGAACTGCTGTTAATAACGCCAGATTCTGAAGGTTTAACGTACGCCTTTATCAAGTCAACCAACTGTAGCAAGCAGCTCTAGAAAACAGGTAGATATTAGAGGGAAGCAACATTTG